ACTAGCCTAAAAATAGTTTTTAAAAAATATAAATTCTTAATCATCTAAACAAATACCTTGAAAAGAAAAGAATTAAGTCTTCTTCCTCTCCTTTTTCTTATAAGAATCCATAGAATGTACTAAAGAGACATTAGTTAAAAGAGGGAATAACTTTGCAGCATTATCAAGGCATGTTTCTCTAATAGATAAAAGTTCCTTAGCTTACCATCTTTCTTCATTTCAACACTTCGTGGAAAACAAAGTATTGGTGAAGAAATATTCCGCAAGCGCCCACCTTAATTTCATGGGATTCTTTTCAATTTCAGTCAGTTGGACATGCAGATTTGGTAGGGAGAAAGTAATTGAACTTCTTTAAAAAAAAAAAAAAAAGGGTGTCATTCGATCAGTAGGCAAGCCATGACTTGTAATGCTTTGAAAGCAATAAATTAAGGATTAATTAGGGGCCCTTTACTGCCTTTTTATTGCTGGCATTCCTATCATTTTCTATCTTTGAAGTCATTGTTACCAACTCGGAGATGAGAAGATATGTGGAACTTTAATCAGAAAAAGAACAAAAAAAATTTTCCATGGGAGGGAGGGACCATTTCCCATTCGGCCTTGTTGGCTCTCTCGGTATAGCTTTACTCGTTGGTCATGACATATATATAATAATTCAGTCTCCTCTGCTAGCCCTCAAGTCATTATTCACATTGTAATTGGTCAAGACTCAAGACGTGATGTGTATAAATCCCCGTCTTCATAACACAAGGGGCATGAATATTGAACATGAAAAATTATAATAATAAGAGAGGTTAAAAAGAGGGTTCAAATTCTTTTGAAGAGGAAAATTTGTAGAATCAATGTGATTCTTTGATCTGATCACATTGGGGAAGGGAGAAAGAAAGAGTATGAGTGTTATATGCGAAACAAATTTACTTATTACTAATAAAAATGTTCTTTTTACAATACGATCGTACAAAAATACATGTTTAAATACTAAAATTATCAAAACAACCTTAATGAAATCGCTCTTTGTATATATTTGTTAGTGGTGTTTTGACAATATCAACACCTAAATTGCACTTTTGTACAATCCATACTAAAAAACACCAATCTCTACTAACAATGCAACTAAAAAATCTTAGTTGTACTCTCCGCGGAAAAAAATAAAAAAAACGTACTTCTCAGTTCTCACATGTGCAGTTTGGTACCAAAATTACCAAAATACCCTTAATAGGTAAACATGAAAAAGTCTCGCCAAGGGTAATTTGATAAATCACAACACGTACTGCACTTTTTTTTTTTCTGTTGTACCGTCTGAAGTGAAAAGCACTTTCTTGAGCAAATTTATACATCAAAAAAGAGATAAGGAATTAAGGATACAGTTTGGAAACAAGAAATTGATGTAGTTTTTATACAAGATCACTATTTTAAAAACTAATGGGACAATTTCTCTTTTTCTTGGCGGTGTCTCTCTATTCGTGTTTAAAGAAGAGTACTTGACTGCTGTATAACACAAAATTTTAGAGCTCCGAGAGTGCAGGAATTGCTAGTTGGTGCAATCAAATCCATGACATATGGAGAGCCAGATTATTAGGACTAGCATTAACAATATTCCAAGAACAACCAACTTAATCTTCATGTTTTGATACCACATCTTCCGGCGGACTTGTGTCCCTTGTCTCCTGTATTCTTGGGCCTAAGGAATGCAACAAGGAACGTTAAATGAGTATTTAGCAGAGACAAATGCAGACCATCATACGTAGAGCATGTCCTGGCTAGGTTACTTTACCTGATTACGTAAGTTCTCTGTCTTGTCAGCTAGAGTCGTTAGGTTTTCCCCTCTCTCAAGAGCCTGTAAAGCAGAACATACAATATAGGGTTAACTTACTAGGATTGATCTAAACACAAGTGAAATAAGCATGACTTATGTAAATGATGTTGAAGACGGTAGGAAACAAACTTAATCCAGAGTAATTTTTTTCCTGATTAGATTATCATTCTACTAATAGTACTGGTGTAAGTGGACAGCTGACATTGTTTACACTACATATCTAGCTGATCACCATAACCTCTGCTAATGCCATTAACTGTTCTGAAAATCATTTGTTTAGAAGTTCAGCCAATGATGAAATAAGTACCAGATTACCAGTTACAAACTCTCACTTGTTAACATTAATTCTTTCTGTGAAAAGTGCACCTCAGTGACAAATAATCTCAGCAGGTATTATGACATAAAGAGATAGACCAACTACAGATTCTCCTCTTAGATGCCTGAAACAATATCTGGACCACTGATCCCTGGTTCTCAAATGATAAACAATTATATACCCCTTTCCAAGATCAATTTCTAAATGTTGAAGTCTTATCCAAAGTACATAGGAGAGTAAACATCTTGTAAAAAGTGAGTCAGACTCCTAACATTTGCATTAGACTAATAGGCTATCCTCTACTATGAGCAGTGTTTTTGGCATTCCATTTAATAGAGCACGTTTTGCCTATTTGTAATTTTTGTGGAAGTGTTGTTTGTGTATAAATTTCGTGGATGTGGAAAATCATGAATTCTAAAAAAATAATCACAAAAAAATTAAAAAAAATTGATTTAAAAAATTATCAAATTCAGAAGTTTAACAACAAAAACTCTACTTCAGAAGCTAGAAACCTATAGCTTCAGCTTCTAGCTTTAATGAAGCTGGAAAACAACATTTAGAAAGCACATTTCAATAAATTGCATTTGGCCCCTTAGGTTTTGCAACAGAGAAGACTTTTTCAAAAGCTGTGCTAAACATATACTCTCTTGCACACACAACCAGAAAAGAAAAGGAGGTTGATGGTCAGCAAGGGAACTAACGCAAGAATTTGCCGTTATTACTCAGGACTCAATTCCACTGCACGTATAAATATACAGAAGCAAGAAGCAGAGGAATACAAATGCTCAACACACAGAAATAGTAAAATGAATTTACCTTGTCAATGTTCTCCAACATTATACTTTTAACTTCTGAAACTTGAGCCTTCACTTTCAAAAGCTTTTCAATCTCTTCAGCATGTTCAATAATGTACTTCATGTGTTCTTTCATAATTGGCCTGCATATTATGTTCTTTTACATTTTAATTAAGGTGCAAAATTTTAATTTGAATAACAGAAGGAATCAAAATATCTCATGTAATTCAAAGGCTTGCAGGGTTGTACAAACCCAAACTCCTTATTGAGACTCTTGGCAGTAGCAGTATCCGCTTTTCCACCCCCATATCTTTTCTTAAAGTCTGCTTTCATGCGTTCCAGAAATGCAATAGAAATTTGCTTCCCAACAGTATCTTTGGCAACAACACAGCAAGCTGCATATAGCAGAGAACAGTCTAATTTAAGCACCACAAAAAATTATTCGTCCCTTAGTCAAGCACCAGGATAGGAGTTGGGTGGATAACTATAACAACTTGTATTACTAGCCCACTGGGTCTGCCTTCACTCCTTTTATCCTACAAATACTAGAACCATGAGTATTATGGCCAGAGTCCAGCTGTAACAGGTTTCAATTTAAAGAGGCATGTAGAATATTCTCTTTCT